TTCTGTCTCTATGTCTCTCTCTGTCTGTCTGATGAGCACACACACCCTATAGCGAAAACCTCTCCAAAAAAAAAAAAATGAACAGACACTGTGTAGGCAAGGAAGATGTAATAACTACCATAAACATAAACACATAAGAATGCATTAAAATGAAAAAAGTTTTACTATGCTCTGCATAGCACACGTAGGGATATACTAAAAAAATTCATCTGAAGACTGAATATGTTATTCTAATAAAGTATAACACAAGGGTCATGAGAAAGATGGTATATAATCTATTTTATGTAGTTTTTAAAGTTTTCCTATTTACTACTTCTATGAGTGAAGGAGACAGAGAGATAGAAAGAGACAGAGAGACAGCATCCTCCACAGGCTCCTGATGCTGTGATTCGCCCTCAGCACCAGCCAGCTGTAGATTGTGGGAACACAATGAATCACTACATCAGGAAGAAATACCAATATGTTTGCCCATTCAGGTTAACATCTAGATTTTTTTTCTTTTTTTGGAGAGGTTTATTTGCTACAGGGAGCATGCGCTCACCAAACAGAGAGAGAGAGACAGAAAGCAAGAAATCACCCTCCAGGGGGAATGGCCACGCCGCAATCCCTTCTCCTACACTCTCCTCTTGGGATCTTGGGCACACACGCACACGTGCCCAGTGTGAGTTTTAAGCCACCGGGTCCGGGACGCAAACCGCGGTCAACTACATGGGAGTCCAGCGACATAACCATTACGCTAACTGTAGGCCCCAACATCTAGATTTATATTTATAAATTCCTCTAAGGATATCTGCCTTAATAATGTCATGGCTAGGTAAATCTGCCTTCACATCTTCAGATAACTGAAATCACCCAATTATTAGATGAAATAATATTTTTATTATGAACAATGATTCTCAAATAATAGAAGTACCATATGCAAAATGAAAATGTAAGAGCAATTAGAAACATGCTTGGTACTAGAGGGTCAGTTTAGGTAATATATTACATGTTTTTTTCAAAGAAAATATTATTTTACTTCTTTGTGAATTACTTGTTTTCTTAGTAGTTCTTCATTTGGTACATATAAATGTATAGACACTGGTCTGGCACTAAATCTTTCCTTGGTCTTATCTTAATTTTTTTTCTTTCTTTTTTTAAAGTAATTATTTATTTAATTTTATTTATCATCATCATCATCATCATCATTAATTTAGCTACAGGGCACATGTGCTTACCAGAAAGAGAGAAAGGGAGAGAGCGAGGGCGAGAGAGAGAAGAGAGAGAGGAGAGAAAGTGATAAAGCAAGTCACCAGATCCAGTACTCAGACTGTGTTTGACCATGTGGGAATGCAGTGCCTTCGCCACCTTGCATCATGCCCACCCCATCCTAATTTTCTTTTACACTATTTTATTTCCATATTTGAATTGATCCCTCCCTCCCCTCTCCTCACCTTCCCTCTCTCTTTTATTTATTTATTTATTTTTTTATTTAAGATTTTTGCTATGGGGCACATACCCTCACCCAGAGAGAAACAAGAGAGAAAAAGTGAGACATGACCCCTCCCCACCCCAGGGAGGATGGACACACTGCAATACCCTCTCCTCCATTCTCTTGTGATTTTGTGCACACATGCACACAAGACCCATGTGATTTTAAGCCTTTGGGTCTAGGACTCAGACCACTGTTGGCCATGTGGAAATGTAGCGTCTTCACCACCACAGCACTCTCTGGCCCCATTCTCTTTATTTACTTTTTTTTGAGAGGTTTTTGCTATAGGGCATGTGCGCTCGCCAGAAAGACAGAGAGAGACAGAGAGATAGAAAGTGAGAAATCACCCCCCAGGGGAGATGGCCACACTGCAATCCCTTCTCCTCCATTCTCCTCTCGGGATCTTGGGCATGCAGGCACACGCACCCAACATGAGTTTAAGCCACCAGGTCCGGTACTCGAACTGCGATCGGCTACATGGGAGTTCAGCGACATAGTCATTACACCAACTGCTGGTTCCCCAATCTCTTTCTTCATATAAACCATATTTGTCCCTCCTCCCTATATGTTCTAGATTGTTGCACCTGTAATTCTTTCCCTTAGTTTTCCAGAACCAGAGAATTTCCTGATCCGATCCCTGTATACGTAGGTTGACTCCATCCATGGATTGTAAAGACTCAGCACTAGGGATCAGCAGTTAGCATAATGGCTAGGGGGCTGGACTCCCATGTAGTGGACCACGGTTTGAGTCCTGGACCCGGTGGTTTAAACTCAAGCTGGGCTCGTGTGCGTGCGTTCCCAAGATCCCGAGAGGAGAATGGAAGAGAAGGGATTGTGGCATGGCCATCTCCCCTGGGGGGTGATTTCTTGCTTTTTGTCTCTGTCTCTCTCTGTCTTTCTGGTGAGCGCACACACCCTATAACAAAAAGCTCTCAAGAAAAAAAAAAAAAGACTCAGCACGAAATCTAACTCTTCAGTGAAGCTGCTCCTCATTTTCCAATTTTAATACTAAAAACCTTTCGGAGGAAATGAAAACCTTTTGGCTTGTTGTTTATACTTTCTAAAGACTTTTATCAATTTTATCTTGTATTTTTAGCTATTCATTAACTATTCAACACGTATTTATTGAACACCTGATAGGCAGAGTGTTCATGATGTATCTGGAGTAGGTGCTGAGTGAAAGGATTAAGAGACATATTTTCTAGTGAGATTAAAAACTATTAGAAAATCAACCAAAAGTTACTGTGTTTTTTTTTTTATTGCCATGTGCCAGCAGTTGTAAAATACAGCTGCTAGAAGAGTCTTTTTTTGCTCTAGGTTATAAACAATTGCTGAGACACCATTGTGTTTCTGTCATGCATTATGGACATTCATGGACACGCGTGAGCCTCAGCACACAGACACTCAGCTACACACGTATTCCCAGGATACATCCATAATGATTTGGAGTCATTTAAAATTTAAAATTTAAAATTCTGAGACAATGTAAACTGTAGAGTCTATTTTGTTAATTCAGTGTAATTCTTTTAGCTCATATGAAATATCTTATTGAATTAACACCCTTAAATGTCAAAATTATTTTTTCTAATTGCTGTTTGCTATAAACCAAAAGAAAAAAATAAATAATAATTACTACTTGTTCTTACAGGGCTATTACTAAAAAATATAGTTTTTAAACTGAGAAATGTAAAATGATTCACTGGGGTGCTATGTACACTGGGAATGCCGTTGGTGTTAGCGCTAAGTCTGTGAAGATGCCTATGGTCTATACTCTTCTGTTCTCTCTCCCTCCTCTTTTCTTTAAGAAGAGCAAATATTTATATGACTGATTTCTCCTGAATGGAGTGGTCATTTAGATGTTTTTCCCTCTAATAGAGTTTGATTTCAGAGATAAAAGAAGCATGGAGAAGATAGTTTCTAGATAGTCAGGCTTGACACTTGGCAGTTAAATTTGTATTAACTTTACAGAACATAAGCAGATTAAAGGATAAGAGGCTTTATATCATTTATATTTAAATGTGAATAAGCAAATGGAAAAACTCACTCCAAAAGTAATTTTTGAAAGTAAAAATTAGTGGGACCTCAGATGATGTGGTGAATAAAGATTCTGGGCTACAATGTGAGTTCCAGATCTGATGTCACATGTGTGTGTGTAGGAGGGTGTTTGTGTGCAAAATCACAAGAGGACAATGGAGGAGAAAGGATTGCATGTGACCATTTCCTGGAGGGTGATTTCTCACTTTCCCTCTCACCGTCACCCTCTGTCTCTCCAGTGAGCACACCCAACCTATGACTAAAACCTTTAAAAAAAAAAATAAAACTTAGGTATTTAATGTGTTTATTCATGAATCAGTTTTATTCAATATGTTCTAAGTATAGCAAAGCTAGTTGAGTCAAACAAATATAAAAGCCACACTTGTGTTTCCAGGGACATATTAATTAAAAAAAAAAGAAAATTATTTTTTAAGATGAATTACTGAATAGAATAATACTGATTACTCCATTTAATTAATTTTAAGGTTTTTTTTTTTCCAAATGTTTAAAGAACATCTTTAATAAAATATTTCAGAACCAGCAGATAGCATAATGGTTACATTGCTGGACTCCCACATAGTCGACCGTGGTTTGTGTCTCAGACCTGGTGACTTAAAATTCACACCGGGCACGTGTGCATGCATGTGTGTATACCCAAAACCCCAAGAGGAGACCAGAGAAGAGACTATGGTGTGGCCATCCTCCCAGGGGGTGATTTCTCGCTTTCTGTCTCTCTGAAGAGTGCACATGGTCTATAGCAATAATCTCTTAAAACTAAACAAAATAAAACAAAAAGACAGAATGAAAATATTTCAGAGTAAAAAAATCTATAGCATTAATCTCTTAAAACAAAACAAAATAAAACAAAGACAGAATGAAAATATTTCAGAGTAAAAATAAATTAGAGAAACTATAGACTAATATTTTAAAAATTATTTATATATATATGCTGTTCTGCATATGTTTATGTTGCCTTGACATTTACTTAATAGTGGAGAAGATTTAGAAGACTAAGTTGAAGACTGAGTTGTTACAGAGCCATATTTTTAAAGGATGCAAATATTTTTCTCAATCATATAAATAAGAAACAAATCAGTGCTAGCACTATGGTAACCACTTTACACAAATTTTAATTTAATCATCAACATAACCATATTTTAAGAAATGAATTCTATTTTATCAGTG